CCGCTCCGCCGGTCCTGCGTGGGCTTCCCCACGCGTGGAACCCTGCGGAGCTGCTGCTTTCTCATCCTCCGGTACCGAGGTGCTGCAGTTTGCACCCATTTTGGGGTGGGTCGGACGCGCGAGACGTGAAAAAACCATCGGGGGGTGGGGTGAGGTGGTTGAGCTTTCACGTCCCTTAGCGTTCCCGGTGTCACCAGTGGGTCTGTGGGCTGGCAGCATCCCTCCCCCCTCCCCGAATGGGGAAACAGCCCTGGCGCCGTGGCAGTGGGCACTACGACGGGACTGGATCGGCGCCGTCGTCTTTGGCAAAGGAGCAGCCCGTTACGCTGCTCAAGGTGAGCGGCATTAACAATTCCCACCCCGTCCTAACGAGATATTTCTGGTTTTTTAATGCAGTATTTGAACCCATGGCAGCTCGTTCCCCCCTGGCACACCGGACCATTATGGGAGCACTGCTCCTCCGAAGGTTCAAACAGTTGATATTTCTTTCTGGAATTTTCCTAAATGTCCTCCGACGTGACTCACAGTAGGACCTGCTGTAAGTTTGGAGCCAGGCATTTTGCTGCCCTCCTGCTTATAGATCATCTTCCTCCTCCTCCATTTACGTGCACATCCTGAAATCAAGCTGAGATTAATAAAGTCGGGAGCGTGAGCTCAGCAGAAATCATGGCTTTCACATCCCTCGCTGCAGCGCGCCTTACCCTGCCCATCGGCGTATAAAAAAATAATCACATAGCGGCAAAGGAAGGAGGAGAGCGCTGCTATGGGGAGAGAAAACAGCACAGTGTTTTGCTAAATCGATAATGAAGTGCTTTAATAAGTCGCTTCGTAAGTCGATTATTAGTTGGGGAAACAGGTTTCTAGCTGGCTGGAACGCTTTCCCAGCTCTTTTCCCTGGGGAGCACTAGGAAGTGGCAGGGAAGCGTTGTCTTCTTGTCTCTCCTGACTAGATGTGTGTGGACACGGTGGTGATGGGCTGCGAATGCTTAAGCACGACCTTACCGAACTGAGCTTAACCACAGGCGCCAGCAAACTCCGGTTGGGGTCAGGGAGGCTGCGTTATCGCTGAAGAGCATCTTTTCTGCAGCCTGTTGTCCTGGAGCCATGCGATTATCATGATTTCCCCTGCGTCTGAGTAAACTTACCCATTTCAGTGGCTTTTCTCATTTTTTCCCCACTTCTTTAAAAATTAAAATAAGAGGATTCTCGTTGTGTTTTTCCCTTAGGAAGGCTCTCCCAGCCTTTGCTCTCGCTCCTGGCCATGATTTTTTTTCATCCCTGCAATCATTTTGGAAGCTGTCGGTCCGGCTGCTGGTGGTAGGGAAGGTAATTCAGCAGCCCTGTTACACAGCTAATAGGCTTTTGTTTCCTGGTCTATCAATGATGATGCAACTTTCCATATATTTATTTATTTAGTGCAATCGATGTCTAAATCAGGGTGGCTTTAGAGATGTTTTCTCGTTCTTGGAAGGCCTATGGTCCATCAGTGGTGCCTCTGAAACGAGGTTTATTTGAATACCCTGATTATTCTTTTTAAAAAAGTATTAAAACGTAGACTCAGCTTTGCAGAGCATGCCTCGGAGTTATTTCTCCTGTATGTCTACAGCTCCAGTTATGATTTGTAAAGTTCATGTTTTTACCTTTTTTTTTTTTTTTTTTTTTTTTCTTTTCTTGGGTGGGGAAGCTGCATTTTAAGATTTAAAGGCATCAAATGGCTGATGCGACATCTGCTGTTGCGATATCTTTTACAAACACTGCCACTTATATATTGCACCTAAACCTCGGCCTAGGAAACCTTTGGGACCCTTTGCTAGAAAATGCAACCATCTCAATGTTTTATGCCTGAATTATTTTTATTTGGGGTGTTCGTGATGATTTTAGCGAGTGTTCATCATGTTTGCAAGAAAACCTCTGAGAATGTGAAGTATGCAAGGTCAGGCACTCGGGAAACGTGAAACCCGAGGTTACCTGTGCAGCCTTAATTTAGCCCGTCTCGAGGTAGGGTTGTGCTAGAAATCCTAATCGCCCACCTGATTGCCGGAAGGATGGTATCCAGCTCCAGGTGGAACAGTGGGTCGCTCCTCCGCGTCGCCCGCAAGTCAACAGGGGGAGTACTGGGAGCACAGGGATGGTGCTGGTCCCTCCACTGGTTTTGCAGTTTGGTACCACCACGCAGCTGGTGAGGAAGACAGGGGTTCACCATTACAGCCTTGGGACCGAGCACGACCGCGTAGTCCTGTTGCCTCAAAACCCTTGAGTCTAGCAAAATTGCGAGGTGAGAGTTTCTAAAGCCATTTGGGGTGGTGGTTTTTGGTGGGCGTAGCATGGCTGTTTTCCACCAAATTCTAGTTCTCGCTCCAAACACAGGAGCTTTTGGGTATAATTCCTTTAAAAAATACACTTATTGGGGAGAAAACAAGGTCGTTAAGCCCCTTAAAGTGCCTTAGCTGGTCAGACTCGATTTCAGAAATTCCTGCGTCCCGTTGGTTTATAAATAAAATAGGATTGCGGTCCCGCTTGCACACAGAGCGCTTGAGAAGTAGGAAGGCAGGCTGAGCACCTAAGAGCCACCCTCTGTGGGAAGAAACCCCACTGTTCTTAGGCGGCTTGTTTTGCTGTCGTGTCACCCTGAGGTTGAAGGCATGTTCCTTATGTAGTCTATGAAGCTCCCAGCCTGGTCCTGGAGTCTGGCTCCCCAAGACGGGCTGGGTGTGGGTTTTGGCTTTAGAAGATGGGTTTTGTTTTAGTTTTTTTTGTGTTGAGCTTAAAAAGAGCATCTGATTTTCTCAGGCCTGGGTCCTGCATGCCTACATTTGCTTAACTTCCTCTTGAGTGAATGGGATTTCTCTCTTCTCTCTAAAAAGTAAACATGAGCATAAACATTTAAAGGATTGCAGCTTAATTTTGCAAATTCGAGACTTTCTCCAGCATTCCTTTGGACAAAAGCAGTATCATCGGTGATTTTGTTTGTGTCTGGGCAGTTCCCTGCTCTGGGAAGAGGCTCGTTAATTTTTTGGGCTGTGTCTCGGTGTTCAACAATATCGCGCTGTGTGTTCAGGTTAGATGTCTGGGATTATCGCAAAGTTTAGGCATGGGTTTCTTAGCAAGGATGAGATGCTGCTGAGGGGGTGTCTGTACATCATCAGAACTGAGATTATTTTTATGGTCCTTTATCTTTTCTTTATTTTTTTCACACAGGCCGAATTTTTCCATAGGTTTGGGGTATATGTGTGAAGGCACAGGTGTTCAGGATTGAGAATATATAAACGGAACATGTGCAACTCTTGCCAGATAATGGATAATAACAGGAAAAAAGGGAAACAGAAGAGTCTTTGCTTTCTTGGTGTGACTCTTTAATATAAAATTTTGCTCACATGTTTGGCAGGTTGAACGTCATGATGTCATAGACGTCTCGCTCCTGTGATTGCATTGATGTCCTAACTTTTGTATCTTAGGAATTGAACATTTAAAAGCAAACTCAGCAAACCTCAGAAAATGTCAAAATTCAGAAGGGAAGCGTGTTGAACAGTGATTTTAGAATGGAACTAGTTTTTCTCTCTATTTTTAAAATATTATCAAGAGTTATGGCTCTGCTAGTCATCATGGTAGCATTTTTTTTCTTTTTCCTGTGGGGAGGAATCCTATAAGAGGTACCTATGGAAAAGTCTTACAGGTGAAGTGAGAACTGTAGGTCTTTGCCACAAATGCTTTTTATTTTTTAAAAAAAACCCATGATTTTAATGTTACCCAGTTGTGCATCACTGCTTCTAGATTATTTTTTCCTTTCCATCGCTTTCCTCCGATGGAGGACTGTAGGATTGTTTAGGTCAGAAGGGACCTTGGGAGGTCACTTGGTTCAAAATCCTGCTGTTGGCTGTGAGGTCAGACCATGTTCCTCATGGATTTAGAGGTCTCACCGGCAAGTGGCTGGTGCTGCAGTGTTTTTGGTGGAAACTCCTTGGAGGTGAAATGGTCATGCGCCATTTTTCTAGGCAGAATGAAATAACAAATAAATACCTGTAGATTTCAGGATTATCGTTA